GGGTAGTGGATTCAAGTCTAGGGGGGTAGTGGTAATATTTATAACTTTTTTTTTGATAATAGTACGTTTTAGTACCTATAAAAAGTTAGGTTTAAAAATTCTTGAGAGGAAATTACCCCCAATATCCCCCATATATGCACCCCTGTTTACTGCACTCCTTTTTTATGCGGACAATAGTATAGGATTCGAAATTTATTTTTCTTAATTGAATTTTATAGATTTCTGGCAAAAAAAATATTTTGAAAGCTATTAAAAGTTATCTTTGTCCAGTTTTTTAATAATGGGGTTTAACATACTGTAGTACTAGTATTAATTTCATGTAATATGATTTCCTTAGATTTATACGTCAAAATTAAAACTGCAAGTGTATCGAATTAATTTTTTTATTTATAAAATTTGAAAAAATAAAACGTAAATCATTTTTTCGCGTAGGAATTCCGGCGTTATTTTGGGGGCTGGTATAAAATTGTCTTAAAATAAACTTCTAGTTTAATGTAATATCGCTACGAGTGACGAGTGACAAAGTCAGTTATTTTTTATCAATTTTAAATGAAATATATATTTTTTAATTTACCAAGATTATTAGCCTCTTGTACTACTTTAGGGAACAGCACTGTTAATTAGAACCCAACAGTGAATGGTTGAATGGGGAATCCTATTAGAATTAATATTCGAACCTGCCTGAGACCCTTCGATCTCAATGTCGTGACTCTAACCACTGCGCCAACCCACCCCCTAGAAATATTAATTATCAAAGTACCAATTCTTATTTATTCAAAATTGCTAAGTTATTGTATCGCCCAGTAGACGAATTATAAATTCATCCAGTTCAAAATTACTTTAATGTATAGTTTTTTACGTCAAATCGTGGAGTTTTTTTATTTATAAATAGTTAATTTACCATAGAAAGTCTAACTTTGATTAAAAATAAGTAAATTTGGTGAATTTTTAACTCAAAATCTTATAAACAGCAAAGCAGCTGCCATAAATATTACTTTTGGATTGCCTCAGGGATTTGATATACGACCTGTGTTGTACAAGGTGTCTGATTAAGGGCTCTTTTTGAGAGTACTGCAAAAACAGATCGTTTTTTACTTTCCTATCTGTATACAGATATAAGGAAAGTATAGGAATCATGAATTTTTTCAACCTCGAGTTTTCGACGGATTTTTACGTTTTGAGGTCCCCTGAATCCGTTTTGACTATTTTCGCGATGATGTCTGTCTATGTGTGTGTGTGTGTGTGTGTGTGTGTGTGTGTGTGTGTGTGTGTGTGTGTGTGTGTGTGTGTGTGTGTGTGTGTGTGTGTGTGTGTGTGTGTGTGTGTGTGTGTGTGTGTGTGTGTGTGTGTGTGTGTGTGTGTGTGTGTGTGTGTGTGTGTGTGTGTGTGTGTGTGTGTGTGTGTGTGTGTGTGTGTGTGTGTGTGTGTGTGTGTGTGTGTGTGTGTGTGTGTGTGTGTGTGTGTGTGTGTGTGTGTGTGTGTGTGTGTGTGTGTGTGTGTGTGTGTGTGTGTGTGTGTGTGTGTGTGTGTGTGTGTGTGTGTGTGTGTGTGTGTGTGTGTGTGTGTGTGTGTGTGTGTGTGTGTGTGTGTGTGTGTGTGTGTGTGTGTGTGTGTGTGTGTGTGTGTGTGTGTGTGTGTGTGTGTGTGTGTGTGTGTGTGTGTGTGTGTGTGTGTGTGTGTGTGTGTGTGTGTGTGTGTGTGTGTGTGTGTGTGTGTGTGTGTGTGTGTGTGTGTGTGTGTGTGTGTGTGTGTGTGTGTGTGTGTGTGTGTGTGTGTGTGTGTGTGTGTGTGTGTGTGTGTGTGTGTGTGTGTGTGTGTGTGTGTGTGTGTGTGTGTGTGTGTGTGTGTGTGTGTGTGTGTGTGTGTGTGTGTGTGTGTGTGTGTGTGTGTGTGTGTGTGTGTGTGTGTGTGTGTGTGTGTGTGTGTGTGTGTGTGTGTGTGTGTGTGTGTGTGTGTGTGTGTGTGTGTGTGTGTGTGTGTGTGTGTGTGTGTGTGTGTGTGTGTGTGTGTGTGTGTGTGTGTGTGTGTGTGTGTGTGTGTGTGTGTGTGTGTGTGTGTGTGTGTGTGTGTGTGTGTGTGTGTGTGTGTGTGTGTGTGTGTGTGTGTGTGTGTGTGTGTGTGTGTGTGTGTGTGTGTGTGTGTGTGTGTGTGTGTGTGTGTGTGTGTGTGTGTGTGTGTGTGTGTGTGTGTGTGTGTGTGTGTGTGTGTGTGTGTGTGTGTGTGTGTGTGTGTGTGTGTGTGTGTGTGTGTGTGTGTGTGTGTGTGTGTGTGTGTGTGTGTGTGTGTGTGTGTGTGTGTGTGTGTGTGTGTGTGTGTGTGTGTGTGTGTGTGTGTGTGTGTGTGTGTGTGTGTGTGTGTGTGTGTGTGTGTGTGTGTGTGTGTGTGTGTGTGTGTGTGTGTGTGTGTGTGTGTGTGTGTGTGTGTGTGTGTGTGTGTGTGTGTGTGTGTGTGTGTGTGTGTGTGTGTGTGTGTGTGTGTGTGTGTGTGTGTGTGTGTGTGTGTGTGTGTGTGTGTGTGTGTGTGTGTGTGTGTGTGTGTGTGTGTGTGTGTGTGTGTGTGTGTGTGTGTGTGTCTGTATAACGCATAACTCATGAACCGATACGGAAAAACACCAAATTTCAAACTTAAGCTTTATTCTAGCGTCTAATGAGCTGATGAGATTTTGGGCAGAGTCGGAACATCTGGGGGGGTACTTTATAGGTGGTCATTTTTATATTTTATGGAATATATCTGTTATTTACGTTTGGGGAAGAAAATTTTTTAAATAAAAGTTACTTCTTATTTTATTATCTATAATTTTTGTTATTTACAAAATTTTCCTAAAATGGTCCGTATTCGAGAAATTTGACAAAATGTAAAAAAATATTTTTTTTTATAAAAATTGTTCAAACAAAAGTTGTTTGTAATATAATTCTCTATAATTTTTGTCCCATAGATAATTTCTCTAAAATGGAACGTATTCGAGATATTTGAGAAACGGATAAAGAAAAAATCAATAAATTTTAAACTTAAGTTTTATTTCGGCCTGACGTGAAATGATTAGATTTTGGACAAAGTCGGAACATCTGGGGGGTACTTTATGGGAGGCCGTTTATATATTTTATGGAATATATCTGTTATTTATGTTTGGAGAAGAAAATTGTTCAAATAAAAGTTACTTCTAATATTATTATCTATAATTTTTGCATTATGTAAAAATTTCCTGAAATGGTCCGTATTCGAGAAATTTGACAAAATGTGCAAAATTCTGATTTTTATGAAAATTCTTGAAATAAAAGTTGTTTGCGATATCGATCTCTATAATATTTGTTCATACATGATTTTTTTTAAATGGACCGTAATGGAAAAATTGTAGGAAAAGTGCTAAATTTAAATTTTTCAGTATTTTCATTTTCAATGAATATCTATAGAAAAATGTTTCGCGGTAGATGTATGTGGACAATGTATATATTTAGTTTATCCTCTAAACATTTATAGAGATGCTGCAATAGGTTGTACACAATAAACGGAAAAGCCTGTAATAACTAGATAGGAAAGTCATGTGTTGGACACATCAGATTTTTATTTCAAGGGGACACCTTTCTATCATATCCTCAACTGTTTTATGTCATTCACCTTCCCTCCAATACTCTAACCAATACAATATAAACTATTCTATTTTCAACAACTTCATGAAACAATTTCTAAAAATAGCCTCTTCGTTTTCGGTGGGCCACCCTCTATACAGTTGTATACAGTCCCTACTATTTCATAGAGCCAGTATTGCTATTTCTTAAACAGTAACAGATAGAAAGTTGGTTTAATTAGATAAAAGATGCGAAGTTTTGTGCTCATTAAAATAGTGCCAAGAAATCTTTGATATCTACAGGGTGATTCAAAATATCGAACAAAAAATGAATGAATTTAAAGAAATTACAATTTTCAAAAAAATGTTTTTAAAATATTTGGAAATATTGTGTGCTTATAGGGTATCTACTCAGGAAATTAATATAATAAAACAAAATACCTGTTTTCGTGAATAAATATTTTGTCTAGCTAAGTAAATTATCTTATTGTTATAACATTTACGCAAATATGTAGTACATGCAATCCAACAAGAAGAACGTGGAAACTTGAAATGATTTGTTTATAGGTATCGCAAACATACAAGTTAATACGTGCATACAGTTAAATTTATAGAAAGGATAATTCTAGGAATGTTTTGTTATTTTAATGTGCTTCCCCGTGATAAATAGTTGTGAGATATTATTTCTATAACTATCTATAAATCTGTTCAGAAATTAATTTGCATTTCAAAATGTCTGAATCTACGTCTAAAAAGAAATGTCGACAAGACAGTATTGAGTATTTAAAAAATGGATTCACGTTTTCTCCTACAAACTAGTCATTGCCTATGTGCTTAATTTGCCTAAAAGTTTTTTCAAATGAAGCTATAAAACCTTCCTATGCTACATGAGGATTTAAATAAAGTACATGCTGATAAGAAGAATAAAGATTTATCCTATTTTCCACATAACATTTCCTTTTTCCTTTAAAATTGTATTGGTTGGCGTTGGAGAGTTAAGAATATAATAGAAATAAATAAAAATGGTCCAGTTTTTGCGTTTTTGTACAAATCTACTTTAAGATATCCTGAAATAAAGCAGCTAACATCCCTTAATGAATATCTGTACAGGAATGTTCTAATAATTTTTATTTTGTTTTTTTTGTGGCTGAAGAATATTTTCTAATATTAAAATTGTACACATAAAGAAAGTATAACTTTGCACAATAAATTTAGGGAAGAGAGAGAGGGAGAGATTCTTATGAATCATGCAACAAGTTCTAAGATTATAAGATAAACAATGACGGTTTTAAGAAGTGCCGGTCTACATAAATAATAGTCTCTTATTATTTGCTACATAATTTTATTGTGAGCTCTCAAAGTATTGTTAGCGATGCTAATTTATATAGTAGTTTGTAGTGTAATAATAATTACGATATTATTTGTTTGATTTCAGTTACAAAAACGGAAAGAAAAGGAGAAACGAAAAAATAGAAGCTCAGTAAAGTAAACAGTATAAAACAAACAAGATGGGGAATTCCTGCAGCAGCGGACAAGCTCACAAAGACAAAGACAACATGTCTCAAAGATCTGAGGAGTGAGTATTAAAATTAGTTATTTTTTAATAAAAAAAATCCAGAGAAAATAACAACATAAACAGTGTTCCTCACTTGAATTACTAGTGTGCCTTTAAAATGTATTTTATATAAGTCACAAAACATTGCGTTACAGGAAAATTTTTGATTAACAACGGTACTGAACTGAAAAATTGTTAGAATCTGTTAAAAAATATAGAAAATTTACAGAGAAGTTCGTTTTCGTTTATTTCAAGTGGCTCACCATTTATCTTCGTCGGTTGCAAGCAGTTAGGGTTAGATTTAGTTAAGACTATGTACTACTGCATCTTGGTGTACTGCCTCAGTTGCACTACATGCGTTAGAATGTTGCAAACTCGTTATTTTTTAGCCAACCCTTCAATTCATGATAGTCCTAGTATGAAAAAAGATTACCTTATCTCCTAAGCAACCTCGGTTGCTAAGAATAGATTATTGATCATTATGATTTTAGTTTTTAATTTTTATACACGAAATGTAATTTCTGCTACTAAATATACCTTATACATATCCAACGACAATGTCTAAGATCCGAAGTAAGGTCGACCTTCACCCATCTGTTTAATGGATGCAAGTTTATTTTTATTAAATAAAATATGTTTATAAATATACCGCAAATGGGTTGCCTAGGAAAATACGGTCCAGACTATTTAATTTCTTAAAGTAAAAACAAAAACAACACACTGTAAAGTATTCCCCAGATGCTTCGACTATGCCCAAACTTTAATCAGCTCACCGCAGGATGGATTGAAGCTTAAATTTCAAATTTGGTGTTTCTCTTTTTATCCGTTTTTGAGTTATCTTCAAAATCCGAAATTTGCACTTTTCCTTACTTATCTTGAATTAGGCCCCTAATAGAAAATGACATCATAAACAACTTTTATCATGATTCCTATACTTTCCTTATCTGTACACAGAAAGGAAAGTAAAAAATGGCCGTGACAGTATTTTCTTAGGCAACCCATTTGCGGTATATTTAAAAACATATTTTATTTAATAAAAAAAACTTTTATCCATAAAACAGATGGTGAAGGTCGACCTTACTTACGGATCCTTGACTATTATTTAATATGATGGGATAAAAAAATTAAATATCCTACACTTGGTTCTATTGTTTCCTGCTTTTCCCGTATTCAAGTACTATATTTAAATATTCCTGTGTGTTCTATTAGTTTTACTACTAACCAAGTGGTCCTGGGGTGTCTAGCTACAGCTTTGAATTCATAGATAACTTGATATGAAGTTTCTTCCTCTTTCATACAGTATGGTTCAAATGAAAGGAATAAATTCATTATAATGGAAGTAGTTGGTTTTTCGAAAAAATGCTCGAATAGGTCAATTTTGTTTACTCAATACGCAATTTTTTAAATAGAATTCAATTTTCCCCCACTTCCCATTTTTGCGCAGTGACGTCATTGACAATTTTTTTAAATAGTAACCCCAATTTTTTTTTCTTGATTTTGTTAGATCTTGCAATTTCCTACTAGGAAACATAATATTTGAAATATCTTACATAACAATTTTTTTTGAATAAAAGTCATTTAAAGATCAGACACATAAATTTTATTTTATTTTGAAAACACAATAAATGAATAAAAGATAATTATTTGTAATTAAGTGCTTAATCTAACAAAATAATAATAATAATAATAATAATAATAATAATAATCATAATAATAATAATAATAATAATAATAATAATAATAATAATAATAATAATAATAATATTAATAATAATAATAACAATAATAAAAAAGAATTTGTGAAATTGTCATTAAATTCTATTTATTATTATTTTTTTAGATGAAGCACTTAATTACAAATAATTATCTTTTATTCATTTATTGTGTTCTCAAAATAAAATAAAATTTATGTGTCTGATCTTTAAATGACTTTTATTCAAAAAAAATTGTTATGTCAGATATTACAAATATTATGTTTCCGAGTAGGAAATTGCAAGATCTATCAAAATCAAGAAAAAAAATTGGGGTTACTACTTAAAAAAATTGTCAATGACGTCACTGCCCAAAAATGGGAAGTGGGGGAAAATTGAATTCTATTTAAAAAATTGCGCTTTAAGTAAACAAAATTGACCTGTCCGAGCATTTTTTCGAAAAACCAACTACTTCCATTATAATGAATTTATTCCTTTCATTTGAACCATACTGTATAAAGTCTACACGTAGTGGAATCATTGTGTAATCCCATCACATGACTCTATTCCTGCAAGTAGTGTTTCGTTAATAATCTTACAATAGTGTATATATGAGGGAGCAGTACCATAACTGAGTATCCAAGCTTACTGATTCTGTGTCTTCTTGTCTGTTGCCAACGAGTGTGGCATTTAGTGGCATCTGTACCTGTAATATAAACTTTCGGTTCTTCTATGAATATCGTTGTATATGACTCAAGAAAGAATATATCTCGGTGAGATGGAGTCCATATTCGCTTGAATCAGTGGAGATGTATCGGCGCCTCCCGCAAAAGCGCGTCTGGCCTCACCAGATACTATATCAGGTTGTATTCCAACCATGCAGAGTCGTGTCATTATATCGGAGCAACTCAAGGGGAGCGAGACTAAGAATGACTTCCATGGCTCTGGGGCTCGATTCTCGAGATCATTGGAAAATTTTCCCATGGGAAAATATTCCACTACTTATATTCCCATGGTAATAGGTTATGCAATTCTCGAACGTGTCGGAATAGACATTCCCATGGAAATAGTAGTTTCACGTATGTCTGATATTAAGTCCACGAATATTTCGAAACAACCAATAACATTAAAGATATTTTAAAATTTACTGTTGGCATTATCGGTATTTGTTGTGGTTTTTGGGTATCCGCTTACTGCCGAGCCTCCGCGCTGGAGTAGGTGCCGTGCCGAGCAATCGATAGCGATCGAGGAACAAGTGAAAATATTCGATTACGTATAATAATTAAAACTTGTCATTCTTAGTTTTTCTTTTCACATGTTGAAGAAAGGAAAGGTAGCTTTTTTATGGAAGAGCAACGAAAGTTTCGAAAAACTAAGAAATTCTTTCATTAACGAAAATAATACAATTTTCGAAAAGGTCTTATTAAATTTACTACAAATTTCTCAATATGTGTTATTTGCCAGTCCCTTAGCAGCTCCCACAATTTCTAAATGATTTAGGAAAATCAGTTTATACAGTTTCTTAGTGAAAGAGAATTAAAAATAATATACCTACATAAATAAAATAATATCAATCTATATAAATACGCCAAAAAAATGTTTTAACTACAATTTCACCAAAATCCAAGATATCCAATAATCTTTGGTTATGTCTTATGTCTTAGACTTTCGCGTGGTCTTTCGTCAAATTTTCGACTTTAATGCGCAAACTCTAGTACAATTCCCATTGGAAAACACAATTTCCAATGCTCGTAAGCAGGGGAATATTTTCCCATACTTCTCATTGGAAAATATTCCACCGATTATGTCGAGAATACGAAAACTGAATTCCCATGGGAAAATTTTATTTTCCCATGGGAATAAAAGTCGAGAATTGGCCCCCTGGTGTGTGTAGTTTTCATAGCTCCTGTTATGTTGAGACATGCTGTTCTTTTAATTTGTTCCAGTTTGCAAAAAGCTGTCGATTGTTAGGTTTTCAATACACAGACAACTGCACTGTATGTTAGAACAGATCTTATGATGGCCGCGTAAGTCCATGGGATGACTCTGGTGGAGAAACCACAGGAGCGGCATTGTTCATAAGCAATGTGTGCTCTTTTAACTCTGTTTTCTAGGTATGAGTATCCTAACTTGTTGTGAAGGGTACTTCACCTCTGTTAAAAGGTTAAGTATTGCGTTTAAGAGCTCTGGGGGTTTTAGTTCTTTTTTCATCCGTTTTATTGTGAAAAGGACCATTTTTCTATAATTTTGAGAGCTACTTGCATTCTTTCGCAGAGTATCTTCTCTAACTTTGCTGTTTATAAATTGACCAGGTCATCTGCATACGCTATAGTGTAGTAACTGTCTAACGGTCAATATTGAGGCGACTGATGAGGGTACCAAGGATCATGTTCCACATTAGAGGTGATATCACTCCTCCCTGTGGACATCCCTTGGCAACCAAGCCTCTTATGTTCAGATCTTCTACACTTATGTTTACTGATCGCTTTGAGAGCATGTTACGTATCCACCCAACAACCATCTGTAGACCATTCTTGTTGCTTAGTGAGTGTATTATCTTGGGGAAGGTAGTTTTGTCAAAAGCTCCTATGTTTATTAAATCACCCAAGGCGGGTTTTATTCTTCCCACGACCAGCTTTTTTTTTAATTTAATAAGCTCTTGTATACATTTTTTTCTACAATTACTCTTCTCTATTTCATCCATGAATATTATGCATTAAAGTGCATTAAAATATCATCTCATCTATCCAATTTTTAGTTCTTTACCAGCATCATAATGAGAACATCATCTAATGATAAACAAGCCTTATTACTACAGTAAATACGTGCTGTATAATATTGCCTTTAACTGGAAAAATTTGCGGAAGTTTTGATATTTGGCGATTTTATGTATTTTTAACTGCTCTTTTCAATTTTTTATAATAAATGATAAAAAAATAAGTTTTTCAAGATATGTTGTAACTAGTTGCTTTTACATCAAAAATTACTCCAGTACTTATTGACATAAGTTCTTTTATTGCAGGAAAGGTGAATGATGGAAAAACCAATCCATTAATTTTTAAGTCATTGTTATCACGATTAATCTGGAAATTATATTACAAAAATGTTCAACCGCGTCACAAATATTGTGCAAGAATGACATTTCCTTAGTCCATCTAGAAAGTACGCTCTCCTGGACTCCCCGCTCACGAATTAGATAACCTACGGTTTTCATCGTTCGCATTAATGATTGATCAATAACCATGTTTGACTATGTGCGGCACCAAAATTTGTCAGAACGTCTAATTGTGAAACGCCTTCCATCTGTAAAAGACTAATCTATACATATCC